GGGGGTTGTTTGTTTTTGGGGGGAGCGGGTGTTGTAGCGAGGGGTTTTTTTAATCGGGGGGGGGGGAGGGGAGTGTTAAATCATTATTTACTCATTTACCTACGTATCTATCTATTTATGTACTATTTGGGGTTGTTTTCTGTTGGGGGAGAGGGAGTTGATGCATGGGCTACTGTAAGGTGATCCGTCTCTTCAAAGTCTGAGGTTTGCTACTTGGGGACTTGAGTCCAATTTTCTTTTTCTTTTTTTTTCTTTTAAGGGGGGGGGTGGTTCGGTTGTTCTTCCTAAAATATACCATCTCATCTCACCCCTCTGTCCTGACTAAGTGCACTGTCTTTAAAAAAGCCACGTTGTATCAAGTGAGGTATGAAATAAAAATAGCTCGATGATTTTTTTCCATTTATTCCGTTATTTCTTTTCTAAAATTAAATATGACACGAAACTGGTTCTACAGTGGATAGGGTGCCTTGTCTGGTCCCTTGCAGGGCACTGAGACTTGACGGGGGAAATTCCAGGTAAGGGGGAGGGGGGAGAGAGAGAGAGAGAGAGAGAGAGAGAGAGAGAGAGAGAGAGAGAGAGAGAGAGAGAGAGAGAGAGAGAGAGAGAGAGAGAGAGAGAGAGTGGAAACCACAGACGAACTTGACCTTAAACTTCAACACGTTGGTCAAGTTCGGAATCAACTGCACTACAGTGATGGTGAACAACTGGTCGGGAATAGGTGCTGTGTCCAATGAATGAGGAGGACAAGAACCCTACTTGAGTCGCCACAGCTATAAGCGCGCGTGCCGTGTATGTGTGTGTGTGTGTGTGTGTGTGTGTGTGTGTGTGTGTGTGTTTATATATGTGTGTGTGTGTGTGTGTGTGTGTGTGTGTGTGTGTGTGTGTGTGTGTAAGTGTGTTTATGTGTGTGTTGGGTGTGTGCATGCGTGTGTACTATTCGTCTGCTGTACTATTCGTCTGCTGTTAGTGGCTAGCAGAATAGCCTACTTTTAGTTTTCATGTATCTCCTAACAGTAACCTGTTGTAAGCTGAAAGCATAGACTTATATGTAATTTCCAAGAGTACGCAATCTGACGTAACTCCGGTTCACTACGGAAGGCGCCATGTAGGCCACTAAAAGAACGGTAAAAGAGGGGGGGGGGTGGCGCTCGCAGCTGCATAAGGTCATATGAGCGCCAAGGGGTGGATGTCAACAGAGAAGTCCAAACAGGGAATCAGACTTACTCTGCTCACCTCTCTCTAGCTTCAACAGTACAAAGTCTGCCTCGACTATCAAGAAACCCCAGAAATAGCGGGTCACAAGAATGTGACAAATATACAAAAGAAAAAAAGTAGAGGAAAAATTACTATAATAAGGATTAGGAAAGAAAAAGCAGCAGTTCCCCCTATTAATTGTTCCGACACAGTATGAACATAACATTGATAAATCAGTCCATTTACAATTCTACTGTGCATGAGAACTTGTTAATAGCTCCCCTTTTGGAATGACCTAAAGACACTTCAGTCAGTGGCACTGCCCTGGGGGGGGGGGGGGGGGGGCGTATCATCTATACATATTATATTTGGGAAAGTTCGTCACTTTGGCCGCTTAAAACTTCGGAACCACTTAACTTTCGCATTTAACAAAATTAATGGTGGTTCAGAATCATTTAAAGGGTGCACAGTTCTATTGAGGAGCGTAAAGTCACAGTAGTTTAATTTATGATTTTAAGTTTTTCTTTAGTTTCGTTTAGATCTAATCTTGGGAAAGTCCGTCTTCTAAGACGCCATTGTACACAATTGAGGTTTCTGTTCAATAGCCGTGCGCAATGTTTCCACACCTTTGAGATTCTGGAGTGTACAATCACGAACGCGGAATAGAGAATCAATATATACATCACTAGATCTAGAATCTATATCTAAACCTTCTAATTTTTTGCATCTCTCAGGATGCATTGCTCCATTCCAGTAGAGTGTAATAGTAGGCCAATGACTTTCAGTTGATGTTAATGCACCGATCAGTCCTTTCAACGAAAGGGGGCCCAGCTAGTCTATTATATTTGTGAAAGTTCGTCACTGTGGTAGCCTAAAACTTCCAAGCCACTTAACTTTCGAATTTGAAAAACTTAACAGTGGTTCAGAATCATTTAAAGGGTGCACATATATATTAAGGAATTTGAAGTCACTGTAGTTTAATTTTCAGCTCTTCATTATTTTCGTTTAGATCTAATCTTGAGAAAGTCCGTCTTCTAAGAAATCATTGTAAACAAGTGAGGCTTTCGTTCACAAGCAGTGCGCACTGTTTCCACAATAAATTGACGATCGATTCTTTTGAGTCCTTTCATCGAACGGGTACCCAGTTAGTTGTTGTTGTTGTTGTTGTTGTTGTTGTTGTTGTTGTTGTTGTTGTTGTTGTTGTTGTTGTTGTTGTTGTTGTTGTTGTTGCTGTTGTTGTTGCTGCTGTTGTTGATGTTAATGTTGTTGTTTTGGGTTGTTGGTTTGGGGGGGGGGGGGGGATCATTTATTTGTAAACTAAATTTCAAGACAAAACAAAACGGTTGTCAAGGTGAAACAACGAAATGCTGCCCCCCCCCCCCCCCCAAAAAAAAAGGTTGAGTAATTCCTATTAAGTCCCGACACAATTCGACAAAATAAATTTACAAAGTGACCTTCGGTGGTGCCACCCACAACTTCTAGTTGAAATCTCAAAGTTGTTTACTTAGTCCATATAAGTTTGCGAAACAAGTTTTATTCGTAAAAGAAAGGGGAACACAAAACCAACACAAAGTAAAATAACAACCAACCATTATCCTTTGTAGTTCCCATTTCTTCAACAAGTATTTTTAAACTATTATCTTTGCATTTCTGTCTACTTTGTTCGTGTTATATAACATAGCTCTAGGCATTTTACCTTCTTTGACTACACTGTACAACTTTGTGTGTCATTTAAGTCAGTGCTGTAGTGTTCGGTACGCTCGCTTTGTACGTCATAAGTATTCTTTCGAAGTAGAAAAAAGGGTATTGAATCT